AGTCGGTTTGATTATGGATCAAGAAATGGACAAGGGGTGGGATAGGGAGTGTGTATACATGGAGGTAAGGTGATTGGAGAAAAGATACCTGGGGAGTATGACAAAGAGAAATATGGCTGAAGCCAGGCCTACATATAGTTGATATTTACTAATCAGGATTGTAAAGGCCAAGAGCAAGTGTTCAGGGGGTAATTGTGGTGGTAGTCAGATTTTGACAGGCTATTCAAATTTTGCTTTGACCAGGACAGGATATAGTCATATTATCAACTCTTGCATCCTAGACACTGCACCAGCTTTAATGATGTTTAAGATTGTATTAGCTTTCTTGGCTATTATAACATATTGTTGAATTATATTGAGCTTGTAGTCCACTAAAATCACTAGGATAATGGATGATTCATGGCCACATGGTATCACTAAAATAATACTGATATTAAAAGTATGTGTAAAATGATCAGGCTTTGGGAGAAATTTTACATCATATGAAGTCATTTCCCCCAGCAGGTTCCCATCATTTTCAACACAGCAACTATTTTCTTCTTGTTGGTAGTTAATAAATGTATTCAATTGAAAATGAGTCATCACAGAGATTATTTGAAAATTTAATTCATTTCTCAAATAGGCTGAATTTAAATTTATTTACAGGTGTCTGAAAAGTATTTAGTAAACATTAACAGAAGGACACACATATGTACACATATATGTGTGTATATGTGCATATATATTATGTATGTTTGTAAATATTAAACTGATATGTAAATACTAGCTATTTTATCTTTATTTCTATTTAATTGAGAGAGAGACCCACTCATTGGATTGTCCATCCAGATTTATATTATAATCAAAGTAGATTCTTTTTTTCATCCAAATGGTTTCTCTTGTATGGATAGCTATGCCTTCTAAGTAGAAGATAATAGAAAACTACAAATTTTATTTCTTTTTTGTGTTGTCAAAATTTTACCATATCATTACTACATTAGCAACTTTGAAATTGTATAGATAAAACTATTATTTTGGTAAATTTATGACTCATACACAAACAATTACCTGAAAATGCAAAAGTTATCACCTTGGTCACGAAGACACACATGTAAATGCAAATGTTTTTAACAAACTCAGATCTGGCTTTTCATAGTTACACACAGGGAGACTTTTCCTATGCTTAGTGATTGGCATTATCTAAAAAGGCTAGTTGGCATTTGCAAAGATGCCTCAGCTTCTTGGTTAATGACAAAGAGTTGCAATAACAGAATTGGCATTTTCCAAGTCATTTTTCTCCCAGTTTATGACAGAAAAGAAAATTCAGGAACACTTTTGATCAATATAAGAACCACAATTTACAACTACTTGGAGACGATCATTATGAAATTTTATTTTTAAAGCTTTTGATAAAGAAGAGATTGATTCGTTTTTACAATTTTTGGAAAAATCATATTGTTAATGTTTATTGATGTATCTCTCCCAAAGTTATAACATGAACAAAGAGGCCTATTTTCCAATCAATATAAACTCACTATTTGGTAGCTGTGTTTCCATAGGAAATCAATATGATTAAATAGCAGTCACTCAACAACTGAGATAATAGGATAATAGAGGTAGAGCTGGAAAGGAACCCAGGAGGCATCTGGTCCAACTACTTCCCTTTTCAGAGGAAGAACCCAAAGCCCCAGGATTTTGGGTAACTTTCTCAAGGTCCCACAGGTGGTAAGTACATATATGTTCTCATGATACTTGAATATTGGATCAGAGATGGGGGTAGGGGCTAAAACAGGTTAAGAAAGAAACAGAAATCATAGTGAGGGCTTTACTGAGCTTTTGTAGCACTATTTCAAGGTCAAAGATTTGTCATTTCCTAAGTGTTGTAGCTCTTTCTTCTGATGGATATTGCCACTTTATAAATTAGTAGTAAAGTCTGAGACTTGCATAAGACTCAGTTACTAAACTGGCTAACACATTTTCAGATGCCTGAACCTATAGTCAGCAAGTCCCAAGTTCAAATCCAGGCTCAGACACTTGAACTTTGTAAACCGGGTCAAGTCACTGAAACTTGCTTCATTTTCTTCAACTGCAAAATGGGGATCATAATAGCACCAAATAGTTATGAGGATAAAATTAAATATTTTAAATGTACTTTTCATGTCTTAAAAAGCTATATAATTGCTAACTATAATAATAATAATAATAATAGTAATGATAATAATCATATTTCTAGATCTCAGATTTCAATCCACACTTCCTTTGTTCCAAGTTTCATACTCTATGTGCTAAATAAAACTTTTTATATGAAAAACAGTTACATCATATTTACTTACAAAACCACTTTATTTATGTAAAGGGTCAATGAGGTGGGACAGTGAATAAAAACTTTCAAGTGCAACATTCTCCTCCATTTCAAAGGGATATTCCAGGGAGATAAGACAGTTGAGTCATGGCATCACAAGCAAAGCTGGACACTTTGTTTTAGTTACTGAACTTAAAGTTTAAGTTCTTGAACCATTATAGCCCCTGTGTATTTTTAAAAAATTGATTCCTTTGTTGTTGTTATTGTCATTCATGTATTTTAGCCCCTGGGTACAAGCATAATTGCTAATGACTCAGAAGGGACAATGAACTTACATATCTTTGGGTTCTTATGATTATTCTACATTTAAAAAAAAGTTTTTGAACAAATAAGGACATCAGTGATTTTTTTTTCTTTTTTAGCTCTTGTAGATAAGAAAGAAAATGATAAGGGCCTCATTACCCAAACTTGTCAGAAAGGAATTTAATAGTTTGTACTCTAATCATGTAAGTACCTAGTTGACTCACCTACATGTCTGAACAGTTTCCTCATAAAATCTTTTGACAGCTGGATATAAAAATGTTAACATTAAAGAAGGACACCCACTGGCAATTGCATCTGTAGTGTTAGACAGTTGTTTGGGACACTAAGAGGTTGAAGGATTTGCTTAGGGGTGCATACAGCTAGATATGTCAGGTACAAAGCAGTTCATGAAGAAGGGTGTGGTTAGGAGGCAACCACAAAAAAAAAGGAGCTTCTGTACAGACTCCAGCAAAGCTAATTGCATGCATTGGCTTTCACTGTGTATGCTGCTTATTATCATAATCCAATTAGCATTAATGAGTACTTGTTACATGTATATTAAAAAGCAGATTGGGTAGTACTTAAATGGAATTAAGAAGATCTGGGTTCAAGTCACCCTACCAAAACACATGACTACGTGACTGGGCATGAGTTGTCTTTCATTGTAGTGCCCTCAAACAGATCTGTAAACCCATACCTTTGAAACCAGATATTGATCTTCATTGTCACTAGAAGTTTCCTCTTCTGGGAGATCCCTATAAAAATGAAATCACAGTTCTGGTCTTGCCACCATGCAAAAATTCACCTTAATACTAATACTAGTTTTATATTCTCACAAAGATTTCAATATTAAAAAAAGTCTCTTGTTTGCTGAGTGGTGCTTTATTTTGGTATTTGACAATTACTAGTGTGCTAAATAATCAAGAATGTAACTTTGGTCATTTTTGCTGCAAGTGCTATTTCTAAATGATTAAACTCAGGTGCTTAACATCTTTCAGAAAACGTCCTGCAGTACATCATCAAGGGCAGTGAAATAGAAACAGAAGATCAGCTTTATTCACAATTGCAAGTTGGACATCCTATGTTCACCCATCTGAAACTGATTTCTTTCCTCACAGAAAGCCGCTTCGATGGCTTTCCCTTATCATAGCCTGCAGATATGTTGATTCTAATTGAAATTTCTTCCCTTTTATTGCAAAAATTTTTGAAAAGAAACACAGAACAAATGTAATCTTATCCTTCCTGAGTGGTGGTGACTTTATCTCTTCTTTATGGATATCTTTCAAAACATTCAATTTGCCAACATGACCAATTCAATTTTTCCACCTTCAGATGATATCCTCATTGGTTTCTCTATATAGCACAGGTAGAATTAAATATGGTTTAGATATGGCATTGGAAAGTGATTTCAGAGATATTGACAATCAGTACCAACCAATATTTTAATTTGCATTTTTAAATGACAAAGTCTCAGTTGTGTGTGTAGCACTATTAAGTAGCTCCTTATCTTCCAAAGAAGCCCTACATTCAAATTACAGTTTCTCAGATTAAAAAAAAAAAAGAAACAAACTTCCATGAACTCAAAAGTACCTGATCCAATCAAGAAGACAACTTCATATTTAGTCAAAATCCTTCTATTGAGAACAAAAAGAAACACAAATAGTCTGCTTGGAGTGACATAGACACCAGGAAACAGATGATGATTCATGGGGACCTGACTCTGTTCTCATTAGTCAGATCTTTTTGTCTTTTGCTTCTGGGTAAACTGCTACCCACTCTTTATTAGGATTAGCTCAGGAAACAAAAAAGAAAGAAGTCAGATAGTTTTCTTTTTATTCCTGTGCCCCTTTAGATAAACTCTCCATGCTCTTCTGTTCCACAGGCTGTAGCGAAGTGCTATTCATCATAATTTTCTGTGAACCCAAGTGAAAGAGCCCAGTAATAAAACAATAGTTTTAGTTCTTCTTATAAACCCATAGAACTAAACACATAAGTAAATACCCAAAGCTGTTTTAAAAATGAACTTTTATTTTGTGAGAAATGTAAAAAAAAAAAATTCCCTTGTCTTTTATCACCCAAGTTTTGGATTTGAAAAAGAGGAAATGGATCTTGGAAAGTCAGTTCCATATTCATTCTCCAAAAGTCACAATACTAGGTGATATAAAAGGAGAAATTATTTCCATTATACTCAGATTACTTGAAGTATAGTGTTCTTATGACCAGAAATGGTCTATATTTATGGATTTATTATAAAGGGAAGATGGACTTTAAAATTATGTCAGTCATGGATTGATTTTCATGAAAATAACTGCCTATTTTCTTTTCTAGCATCTATTTTCATTAATTATGTAGTTCCTGTAGTCTTGAAGGGTGTGGGGGATCTATTTTCCTTCAGAATTATTTTTCCCTCCTACAGGAATACACAATAGATGTTTTCTTCCGTCAAAAATGGAAAGACGAAAGGTTGAAATTTAAAGGTCCCATGAACATCCTCCGACTGAATAACCTAATGGCCAGCAAAATCTGGACTCCTGACACTTTCTTTCACAATGGAAAGAAGTCTGTGGCTCATAACATGACAATGCCAAACAAGCTTCTACGCATTCAGGATGATGGCACTTTGCTATACACAATGAGGTAGATTTTCCCTCCTGTTTTTCTCTGTTGCATTTATTTGCTCAGAAATGAGCATACTAGATTATGAATCATTGCAGTCTCTCAGTTATTTGCATATTTGGACTGATTGTTATTCATGTTGTGTGATTAAAATGGTCAAGATATATTGCTAAGTTGTTAAGAAGCTAGAGTATGTAGTATGAGGGATAAATAGGACTAAAAAAAATGATGGAACCCATGACAGAAGTAAAGGAAAGGAGCAGAAGGTAAGTTAATAGTAATTTAAATAATGGTTATAATATTAATATTGCTGTGGTTTTCCAAGCTCTGTATTTGTTAATAACAATTCTAATATTACTTTAAAGTCCTTTGTGCATGCTATTAAATGTTTTCACATCTCAAGTCTATTAACTTATAAATTTAAGTTTTTAATCACAAGATATTTTACATCTTATTAGGATAGATTTCTGAATTGAAGCATTCATAATATACCTTTAATACATTTTCTCCATTAAAACAAGTAGAAATATATATTCTGTATGGATGTATACATCTTTCCTTGGAGTCAGGTTTTTTTTTTTAATTTTTGGTGGGGAGCAGAGGGCAGAGAAAGGATAATGAGGAAAATATTTCATTAGTACAGGCAGTTTTCCCTGTGGTAACTCCCTCTATCATACTACATATAATAAACCTTTGCAGAGTTCTATGTTTTGCCTCTCAGACCAATATTTATTTATCACCTAGCATTTGCTAGTTGATTAGAATTTCAAAATCAATGGGTAGATCATGACTGAATGCAGAGTAAAATCACACATTCATATAATTCAGGGGGCATTTTATGAAATATAATTTAGGAATGAATTGGTTACCACAATTTTCATATGTAATGAAATCACCGGCAGAGGTAAAAGTTTTAAAACTGCCACCCTCTTCCCCCCAAAGAAAATCTATTCTATTTTCCATAGATTTTTCCCCCCTGCAATTAACAGATATTATTTTCTGCTAATCTGAGGGAAATCAAAGTCAATGCTAGAAAACTGATGGTAAATCAAAGAAACAAGTTTATGGGAATTTGGTTTATTCTTGGAAATATTAATAGCTATAAGGAAATATGTTTTGATAGATATGAGCAGCAGGGCATGTTAAGTGGCGAACATATAACGTTATAGAGATAAATATATCTCTGCTGATATGCATCAGGTTGTATTCAAAAAAGATTTCAGTTGTGGAAAAAATAAATCCCAGAAGCATAAATAGATACCTTTGTTTACTTCTGTCTGTGATAACTAAATTCTTTAAGATTAGCCATGCCCAGTTATTGTTATTGAATAACAGTGAGGAGATGGTTATTCATTGAGACTGTTTCATCTTGCTTCCTATTTCTAGGACCTGGTTGAAGGATAAGAGTTCTTGTTGATGCTGCACTTTGATCAGATTTAGTTCAAGATAAAAAATGAGACTTAATTTTATGTTTAAATTAAATGAAGGAAAATAACTTTTCAGAATGTTGGGATCATATTTTAGGAATATATAAATTAAAATATTGGAGTTATGTAGACTTTCAATGCCAAAGATGAGAAAAGCCATGGTGGGGTGAAAAATTACACTTGACTTTGAATCCAAAGAAATGGACTTTTGTAGTAGCTCTGTCAATAACTGTGGGATCTTACTTTTCTAAACCTCTCTGTGTTTTTTTTTTTCATATGTAGAATGAGGAGATTGGACTACATGACTTCTAATCAATTTCCTGAATCTGTGAGATAGATATTCCATTGTCATTTTCATTTAGGACTAGTTTTCATCCATCCTGAGTAGAAAATATCAAGCAAAAGTTTGGATAATTTTATGATTAATAAAAAAGCCATATTGCTTTGTTCTATTAAGTTTCACTCAGCCCAATAGTGGATATTATACCTTAGATTAAAGACACAAAATCTAGTTTAAAATCTATTTATCTACTTAGATTTCTGCTTATTTTTTTAAATTCCAATAGTTTTAAGCTGTATGTGTTAGTGCAGATCTGGCCAACTGTTTTTTTTTTTTTTTTTACTTTTTGTTTTATAAACATTAGTAACTTTAAGTTTTATATATATATATATATAATTTTCTTTTAAAAATCATTCAGAATTATATGAGAAGAACAGTCCTTAGCAAAATCAGCATTTCTTTGTGCTTTTAAGCAAATAAATTGTGGCATTAATATGGGTAACCCCCACTCCAACACACACACACACACACACACACACACACCAGAAAAGAAAATCACTATTTTCAGCAACCTGAAATTATATTATCTTTCTGTCAATTTCAATGCATTTTTCCATCATGCCTGGTTTTGAGTCATCTGGTCAACTCTTCAATCTTTTGATGAGTAATGAGATAAGACTGATTAAGTATCACAGAAATGGAAACTATTAAGAACTTAATTTACTTTCTCATTACCTTAAGATAATGTTATAATCTCATCTTCTTTGTGGCTGAGAAGTTGATTAACTTAAGTGGAATTGCTTTATCTTGCTTTCCTGATTAACTTACACAGAAGACTTGTCTTTCAACTTTTAGGCTTACTGTGCAAGCTGAATGTCCAATGCACTTGGAAGACTTTCCAATGGATGCTCATTCATGTCCTTTGAAATTTGGCAGCTGTAAGTACATGGGTAAATGTACAGCTTCTACTTCACTGGGATTATGCATAATCAAACAGTGCTTATTTCTTTGCAGAGTCACCTTTGGATATCACAAATTACCCAACTATATCTGTAGCCATGTCTTTATTATCAGTCCATCAATCACAAGCATTTACTGAGCACTTTATGGATTTATTGCAATTTGTTGATCCACTGCTTAATTAAGTGCCCACTCTGTGCAAGACAGAATGATAGGCAAGACAAAATTGAAACAAATTCCTCCTCTCAAGGACCTCTTGTATTCTACTGAAGGGATAAAAGATGTAAAACATATGTATGTGGTTAATTGAGGAAGAAGGAGAGAGCCATAACAATTAAGATCACAAGGAAAAACTTCACACAGAGGCCTCTATCAGTATATTTTTTCTCCTGGGAGATAACATCAGAAGTAATTACAGGGGAAAAAATACTGCTATCTAGTTGTGTGATAGGCAGAAGGTTAGGAAAGTATTAAGGAAGGAAGCTAATGCAAAGAGTATTCTAAAAGGAGTTGGAAAACCTGTAATCTTGTACAAGTTTTTTTTTTAATAACACTTTGGGTTTCATTTAAATAGAAGAGGTTATGCTAGGTTATATCTAAATACTTTTCCAGCTTGAAATCCCTCTATAATCTTAGATTTAATCAATTTAACAAACATGTATTAAGCACCTACAATTTGCCAAGCACCTTGATACAAAGAAAAAAATGAAAAATAGTATCTAGCATCAGGGGGGTTATAATCTACTTATAGTATCATCATTTCCCACTTGACCACTTTCATAGATTTCA